AGAATTTTGCACTTGTGCATTACCAGTTGGGATACTGATTTAAACGCCTTGAGATTAATGGCCGTACGATTGGCTGCACTGGTTTTTTATCGACGTGCCCTTTAACTCGGAGATAATGGAAAAAAATTTCCCTTTTGCGGTATGTCAATCGATCCGCGAATTCTCACACACGCGGAATTTTAATTTCTTTAAAAATCTATAAAAATAATCAATTGTTAATCGATAATCATTAATTATTTTGGAGATAAATGAGGAATTATAGGGAATTCTATGATTTGGAGAAAACCAAAATTTTTTGGTGATTCTTATTCTTATCATTTATTTATTTAACAATTTTCCGGAATTTCCAATCTATCAAAAATCGAATTGCATTTGATATCTAATTGTTATAATTACTCCGAAAGATTGAAAAATTAATTGCAAAATAAATTGCAGTCGTTGGAAATCCTAATTCCATCCAAACTTTCATAATTGATATTTTCCAAAGTTGAAATAACATTATGAGTGAAATTAAAAGAAATTAGCAAGAGCAATGGGGCATACGAATCGGTTTCTTTGTCGAGTATTCGTGGCCGCAGGTGAGAGACCGATGATTATATCGATCGATTCTTACGGATCTCGAGGGGTAATTTTCGATATTCGGTGTTTGGGGTTGTACACGGTAGCATGATAGCTTTTATACCGCTGCATGCGATAAGACAAAATAATATATATGTGTGGACAAAAAAGATTTTGAAAATATACTGCTGTGGGGTGGGGGGGCGCGGATAAAAAGAATAAAGAGCCAATAAAGATGAATTCATACCCGGCAGGCACTGGCATTAACTTACCCCCTTGATCACTGCCATCGACGAAAATCCGTGGGCCGGTTCGAGTTTTATACCGAAACACGATTCCAACATTTTTTGCGTCTAGCCGGTAGTAAGTGCCGGGTGTGGCAGACGCGAGAATTGCCAGATGAATAATCAAAAAAACGCGGTTTTTCGGGTGATGGGGGGAAACTTGAGAATTGAGGAATGTTATTTTTCAGAGTGAACTTGAGAGATCGCTGAGAATTCGAATTGAACTTAAAAATTCAAATTTCCAGCGATTTCGTATGAATTTTCAATCATTCGAGTTTGAATTATTAATATTAATTGAATATCTTCAGTAAATTTTATTTATTTAATCGGATTAATTGATTTTTTAAGGAGAACCTTGAGTTTTCAATCTCCCGGGAAAATTAAATGTCAAATGGAATTCAATTGTTGAGGAATTGAAAATTTATCGCAATCAGTCTTTACTCCATTTAAAATAATTACTCAAATATTGATTCACTCGTGAAATCGATAGTTTCTCAAATCGATTCGATAAAATCGATAAAAAAAATCGCCAATCCCAGAAATTGATGATTGTCTCTGTAAAATAATGAAGATTGTGTCCCGAAAATGTGACAGTGACCGAAAATAATGAACAAATGCATGACTCGACCCGTAAATACAAACGTGCAAAATCCCACGGAAAAAGTCACACGTTCACCGGCTTGAACATAATGCACTACCGGCACATAACAAAATGTAAATACATAATACATATATGTTTTAGCCAATCGAGCAGTGGCTGCAGGATATAACGCAACAAGTGGCGGTTTTCACGGGTTTTCCCGGGGATGAAACGTGCCGGCTCGCGGTAACTCTCTCTCACACTCTATCTCACTCTTTTCCCACCCCATTTCACATCTGGGGGAGGAGAGGGTGAGAAAAGAGGGGGGGAGGGGGAGGGTTGGTAGCACAACTGTACTAGTCTGGTTGTACTCACTTCACTCGACTGGTATTAGTGAGAGTTGGCGACCCCCAAACGCCGAGATTCTCCACTCGTTTCTATTTCCCTTTCTCCTTCACCCCCTTAAACAGCCACAAAAGCTTCTGGCACGGGGAATTTAAGGGTGAGGAAGGACCCTCGCCTTGGCTCACTCCACCCTGTTCACGTTTATCCTCACCCTTCTAACATCGATGCATTGAGATAGGTCGGCAATCCTCACGGTCAAGGTTTTCCAAATTGGGGTTAGGAGTTTAAAGGGGAGATTTCCACTCTATTCTATTTACAAATGCCACCGATTTATTCTTGAACTCATTCTGGTCACGGGAAAATTCTATTTTCAGAGTGTCAAGGTCGGACTTTTGGAGAGAAATTTTTCTGTTTTGTTTGGAGACTTTTTGATCTTTCCACGTTTTGGGACTTTTAGACACTAGGGTTTTTGGATGATTTTTGTAAATCATTACTCGATGGAACTTTAATTTTATTTCAATCTCCTTTTCCATCAGGCATTCAAAAAAATGTCAATTTGAATCTTGAAAGTCTCTTCGTAAAGTCCCCATTCCCAAAAAGTTTTCCAAAACTTGCAAATCGATCTCTCAGAATTCTTCGATTCTTTTCCTGACTTCGAGTCCCCCAAAGTCCCAGATCACGACTTGTCTGTCGTTCCTCCGGCCATCGCTTCCCTTTCAACCCCCAAACATTTCCATTTTCTCTCCCATAATCTCTGAAACTTCCCCTTCCTCCCGTGGGATAAAATTCCCTAAAAATTCGTTAAAACAAAATGATGAAAATTCCCCAATAAATAGTGATAAAACGGTTATTGATGGAGTGGGCTCGAGCGATTGGCGGTAGGCGTGGGTAAGCCATGGCGGTTCGCATGATTAAGATCATCCAATGATTCCTTCTCTATAATGATAGGCTGGCTTGTAAGCCGACGTTGCCACGGTGATTCCGATCCGTCCAAGTATGGAATATAGAAATGTGGTGGGACTAGGGAGGGATCGAGCACGAACTCTCAGTGTATCGGTTATCTCGTCGATATTAATACCACGCGGTGCTCGAAAGTATCTTATGCTAATGAAAATGCCGTTTCACTCTACCCCTCGTGGATGATTTTACCACCACTCCATCAACGGTGAAAACGCCATCCATTTTGCATCCTGGGGCATGGGGTATTGTGGATATGTGGTTGAGTAGGAATTGAGGTTTAAATAAAATTAGTGGGAGACAGGTAGAGGGACGAAATGAAATTTCAATTGAAGAATAAGAGACGGGACATTAGGTGATTCGCGTTTACATGTGGGGTCTATCCACCAACCGCATTCAATATATACAACTTCTTCACATGCATGTCTGCTCGGATAAATTCCCTTCTTATTATTCTCATTACGTTGGTTGTAATGAAATATTAGCGGTTGGGACTGAGTTGTAATCCCTTCCTCTCCACGTATCGTGGAAAGTACATGTACCCCAGGTTGGGACCAATCAGCCACTCTCCGACGACCTCTCCTGGGACGGATTGAAAAAACCATTTAGCAACTGGCCATTATAATAATACGTGATTCGTTTATGCCCCCCCTCCCACTCAACCCCCTTTGCCCCCTCCTTCTTTAAAATTTTTTTTTTCCTGTACAGCCTGTGCTATTCGCGTTATCATCGATGCATATATGACGCGAATAAAATATTTATTAATTAAATTCTTGGATGGAATTCGGGGGGAGTTTTATCTCTCGGTGATTTTGTTTACTTCTCAGTTGATTGATTATTGATAAAGTTAATTAGTTATTGGTTGTTGTTATTAATTAAGATAGTCGGGGAATAGGAGAGATTAAACGGGATTGAGGATAATTATTTTATTGATCGATCGTTTCGAGTGAATTGGGGAGTCGATATTTTTTAACGGTGATATATATTGTTGGGTAATAAACCGGGAATTGTGGGAGCTGTAATGAATCTGACTGTACATATTGTCTGTATGAGGGAATTTAGGTATATATGTATCTCGGACATTACAATATCAACTCGGTTCCGACTCGGTCACGTTCGTTGTGTGTGTGGTCCACCTTCTTGTCTCTTTTTCTTACTCGATTATTTTACCCTTTCCTGCGTGTGTATTCTGATTTCCTCTTTACGTCTTTTTTTTTCTTTGGTTTTTTTATTTTGACGGTTGGATTAGCGAGATTCGGAGTCATTACCGGAATTACTGAGACCACCGAGTGTTTTTGATAGATTCGGGGATTATTCCAGGGCTCATCGATCGTGAATTCATTCAGAAATTCACACTCCGGGGAACAGATGATTCCCGAGAATTTCACGAATTTTAATTCATAACCGAAGTTTCAATGGAAGTCACATGACGGACTGTCTAAATTAGCACCAAATTTCTCCTCATGTTTTATGCGACATCATGACTTTTTATTTGTGTCGAGTGAATTTATTTACCAGACGAATTTTTTCTCTCAGTCACTCTCGTTATTTTCCTATTTCAAATGGAAGAGATTACAATGGCATGAAAAGATCCAAGAATTTTCGAGATGATTTAATTATTGAATGCTCCTGATTATAACTTTATGACGTGACTTTATTTTCAACACCGAAAGCAGCGAAACTTCACCCAAATTCATCGTTAGAAATAGCTTTAACGTGAAATTTCAAGAGTAATTTAACCGGCGGACAGTCATAAATTTTGATATTGTGCCTTGTGAATTTACATAAGCCATCGTGGTTCTCTTTATAGCGTGTTATTGCCTCTGTGACGTTTAAATGCATTGACATCACTGTTAATAGACATGCCGTCAAGGATATTGAACTTAATATTATATAATTGAGAGCGAGCAAAACTGGTGAATTAAGGAGTAACATTTTTTCTTCTATTTCCCATTATTATTTATCTTGGGTATTCTGACTTCTTCGTGTCCCTCTTAGTTTTTCCAGAATATCTACATTGTGCTAGAGGTAAATTTTCGTTACGCTCGATTTCCGTGAATAGTAAATGCTGGACGACACGCAAAAAGAGGGCGGTAACCTCACGTACAATCACAGGGTGGTATACGACAATTCTAGGACGTAAATCAACCCTGAATTATTTATTATTAATAATAATAATAATAACGAAAAATTTTTGGTATTTGCCTTGAGTTATTTGGAATACAGCTATTATTAATCGTTGTTTTTTTATTTTTTTTTTTTTTATTCTATTCCAGATTATGCAGCCCTGTAGAAAGGTCACCACCTCGTGAGAAAGGTCAGTGATTATTGAAAAAAGTTTTCATTATTTCAAACTTGCTGAGCAATTTCCTCTATCACCGCTTCTTTCGTACAATAATGTTTTCCATTTATAATTTTATACGATTAAAAACGTTGTAATATTTACTGTCAGGTGGACGTAAGGTCGAGAGAGCCGTGACCTCTTCTAATGCATGAGTTAATGTGCATTAGTGCATTAGTGCATTGATTGCACTCTTTTATATTCAACCGGTGGCAAATTTTCTACTGCCAACAATATCGCAACACTTTTATTTATTTCTCTTTTAACACTGGATAACTAGCTGGTGTTATTTATTTAGGTGACTCGTTTTTTTTTTTCGGTTTTTCAATTATCCACATCTTTCTGAGCATTCGGTACGTGACTGCATCGTTGTAGAATGGGTTAGGAGGGATATAAACGCTTGACGTGTGAAACGAGTTATCGATCAGTTCGAGTTGACAGTCGAAAAGCGAGGGATGTCACGAAGATTCATGATGTAAACGTGATCGATATATACGCAGCCACGAAAATCTAATCGACTAATGACTGCCAATCCTAGTCGCTTTTGGCGAAAATTGAAATTGGTCGTGCACTTGCCGATTGCGCGGTATTTGAAAACCTTTTTCCGACACTTTGTCCACCCTTTTGAAAAACAAGGACTCGATCGGTAATTTCTTCTTTTTTTCTTTCGTATTTTTAACTTCTGGGGAACTTGACAAATATCGAATTGTTTGATTGATCGATCTCCATCCGCGATGCGTCGATGATTTTTGGTTTCACTCTGGGGAATATTTATTGCCTTGTCTTTGGTAAACAAGTCCGAGGGGGTGACTGGGATTTTGGAGGGGGGGATTGATGGATTCGGAATAGGATTGGCACTGAGGAAAAATTTTGGTACTCAATTATTTTTATTGATTGCAAGAAAATTAATTATTTGACACATTTTTCTGAATTCACTTGAGGACTTGAATTTTGGGGGGAAATTTGACATTTTTAACAATTATAAAATTAATGAATTAATTGATTCCTTGAATATTCAAATTTTTCTTGAATTTTTGAAAATTAATACGAAATTAATTGACGACTTTCAATTGAAAATTAATTAAAATTCCAATTCCAAAATTCCAAGAATTCTACAAAACCGAATAAACCGAAATTTCCAGAATTCTCCACTAAATTTCTTCAAAACTTTCATACCCTTCAATCTTAAATCACCGTAATTACCACCCGAAAGAAAAATAAACTCAACAAAATTAATTGTTCCCCTCGCAATCTTGAAAAAAAATAACGATCATTCAATGAAAAACGCGAAAAGTGGGGATTATAACAAAAAATTGTGTAAACTTTTGCTCAACCATGGACTTCTCTCTGAAATTACGTAAACGTCTATAATTCCAATAGAATATAATTCTCCACGTACTTTTTACAATTCTCAAGCGTTGCACAACATCCACATAAATTCCGTGAATTCCATCATTAAGCCGTGTATAACTATAATAATTATTTGAATTTGTCGTCGTGATAATTGATACCACGAAACAACGGCAAATATAGTATCCTATGGCTCGTGGATTTCTCTGACCGTCGCTAATCATTCCACACAGCAAATACATGTGGGAGATACGTATCTATACGGATAAACTGTATTCCACGCTTATGCACGATCGTCCAATGTCGGTGTTTGTTTAGTCACAAGTTTCAATATTATCTACGGTATTAATTAATATCGATCGAATACGTAGTTTCACCGGCATAATGCGATGGTACAACGTCCAACCTGGCAAATGTTACCGGTGAGGGCCTGGGGGCCACTCGGAAAATTTCCTCTCTCTCGATATATCGCTCTTGATATATCATCCCTCTCGCTTTATCGATATATCTCATCATCTCGCTCTGTGCATGGGCTCGAGAAATATTCTATGGGTGAAAAGTTAGCTCATTTCGTTGCATCGCATTTTGTTAAATAATATATGACTCGGTAGCCGACGGATCACCCGATTAAAATCTTGATTTACCACTGGGTATAATATTTATCATTTAACGTGATATGAAACAACGTCCATAATGGAGCATTTTATCGGCTTGACGCCTCACTGATTTTCCACCGTGCAATTTTCATTCTCACTCGTTCCCGTATTTATTTTCCAATTTACGCGTTATCGTAATTGGGGTAATTAATGATTTGACGGAGAGATCGTGTTACATTTTTTTTACATTATATTTTCCGTATTTATTTTTAGTAATTTAGTTTAGGGCATTTTCTTTTCTCATTTGCGTCAATTATGAGCGAATTATTCGTGAAAACTCTTGTTTATTTTTTGTTTTTAGTTATTCTACAATTTACACGAGTTTTACTCGCTGTGATTCGCTGATTAATCATTTGACGGAGAGACGGCGTTACACATTTTTTTAATTATACTCCCCACTATTTTTCTTACTCTGGCAGATTTTTCGGATTTGCATAATTCAAGTTCAAATTATTCACGAAAATTGTCATTTATTCTTAATTGCATTCATTTCCCAATTTCGGTTTATCATAATTGGATAATTAATCATTAGACAGATATCAGATAACGTTACCAATTTTTTATTACATTTTCCATCATTACCTTACACCAAATTACAAAAATTACATTTAAATTCCCTGTGACTTTTCCATTGTCAAAACGTCTTCACTCCAAAAAATGTTGATTAATTCTCAAACCGAGCGAATTATTCCCCTGAATTTTTCAGAAAGTAATCAAGAACCACCGGGAAATGATAATGCACACCTTCCGTATAATACATTCCAGCTTTTCCAGTTTGAATATGAAAATGTAGAAGTACGGAAATAGTTGTTTCATACTTTTTCACAAAGTAAATTGCACTTTTGACTTTTCCCCCGAGTTTCTTGAGTGTGGGG